AGAAGACTTATCGTGAAAAGATTTCAATATATATATATATATATATATATATATATATATAGTATAATAACAGTGATTATGCATTGAGAAATCAAAAGAACTCAATTTTTTAAGGTTCTGAAATGTTTTACTGTGAGATGATATGAGATGAGTGAGTGTGAGTGTGTATGTGCCTGTGCATTAACCTGCTGGTGCATCTTCCAGCGTGCGGCCCATAGATGGCTGACTTGCTCCGCAACCAGCTGCAGTGCATGCAACAACAATGAAGCTGTAGTTGGTGTGAGGCTCCAGACCTGCAAAAACAGTCATAAAGGCAATAAACAGTATTGCCTTTAAACTCCACACAGAACAATCACCTCCTCGATTACAGTACATATCCATAGGTGCTAATGAATTTATTATTAAATATATAATAATATAATTTCAAAGTATTATTATTATTTACTTTATTTAACCAGGAAAATCCCACTGAGATATTGCAATCTCTTCTTATAGAGAGACCTGGTCAAGACATTAAATAACATCACACACACACACACACAAAACTATCAATACTAATTTAGCTTATTTAAATGTATAACAGCTCTTATTAATGTACTTCACATGACAAGAATATTCATTCCAGAATATTCTTGGACTGTTTAATGTAATATTTTAGCCAATGGAGTAATGAACAGCTAAATGTATAAATAACAGGATCAACAAAAGCTTTTTGTTTCATTAAAAAGCAGTGTATACATGCTATTGTAATTATAATTTGACAAAAAATACAATTAATTAAAATGAGAAATATTGGGTTTATTATAACTGAATGAATGAATGAATAATACAAAAAGTTTGAGTAATTTGGTGTCTAACACAGCACCTGTGACAAAGATGCAGCTTCAGCAGTCAGAACTCTAAATCTGGTTCTAATCCTGAAGCACTTTAAATCTCGCTCTAATCCTGAACTCTGTGCACCCTGTAAAGCCGTGCCTGTGTCCATGGAGCACTGCCTCCACATCTGGAGAAACGCATGCACCCGCGCTCCTGCTTAGTATGCCTGATGGCCTCTCTCATTTAACCCAAACACAGATCAATGTTTTCAGAATGTTGAGCTGTGTTTGGGTTAAGTAAAGAATTCTGTTGAGCATACTAAACACAGGGGACAACCGCTGAATACTGCCTTTAAAGCTTCACTTCACACATCGCCATGCAAAACATGTCCAGGTGTGTATTCGGGCTAGGTTATTATTGTGTTAGGGGTAAGTTATTATAACATTAGGTGTTCAGGGGGGCTGAAGGCATTTGCATGGCGCAAATCCAACCTAATTTATCAATCTACTTGGGAAAAGTAGATCTACTAAGATTATAACTAGTTATTCAGAGAAATCTTTTGAATGATTAGTCAGAATTAATCTTAGGGACGTTAGCTTTAGAAATAATATTAGTAAATGCATTAATATTCCAATTCATTATTACTATTACTATTATTATTATTATAGGTAGGAAAGGCGACATTAAATAATTTGAAATATTTTATTTTAAATTTTTTTACATGAAAATACTATTTTCATGGACTGACATTTGCACTTAAAGGAAGCAAATGCTGTCTAATCACAAGCAGGAATTCATAATTATTAATATGCATGCACATTATTACAATAAAATAATAAACAATAATAATAATAATAATAAAATACAAAAATCCATTAACAACATCACTCTCAGTAAGATTTTGAATTCTCATACAAACTGAAGGGGGCACTCTTAGCCTATTAAAGACTTATGCACCTTTAATCAAAATGGCAAATAAATAAATATATAAATAAACAGGAGCTACATTTTTTTTTATTTTTATCTCTAATCCTCCTAACACACAGCGGCCCATTTGTAGCACATGGCTAACACAAAGTGAAACAATGCCGTAACTGTCATCCAAATTGCTCTGTACAGCACCGCGAGGAAGTGTGAGGTAATAAATGATATAAAAAGGTATTTTATCGACAAGCTGCCATTTACTGTTTGCATTAGAGAATATGAGAAGATGATAGGTGCAATCCATGAACGTGGCGACCTGATGAGAAAAGGCCTGCAATGCTTACTCACTTTACCTGCCACATTGATAAAACCTCTAAATAATTAAGTGCCTACTTCCTGTCTACAATTACTTAATGTTTTTTTTCTGTCTGGAGGGGATTATGATGCGATCTGTGGGCTCCACGTGTCGGCCAAGCTTGGAGACTACCCCTGATGCCTTTTATAGGATCAGTTTCCTCCCGCTCACGCATAATTTAGGAGGCAGAGGTTCTTCTCTTCTATCAGGACATGGGCAGACCTCTGTGAACCCTGAAAAAGCAGCTGCACACGGGAGACAGATAAGCCAGGTAAAGGGAACTCAGGATGATGGTGGTGCTTGTTAAAAACTAACCAGTGACTTCATACACTTACATAAGACTGTTGCTTATTGTGACATTATGTCTTTCGGTTTTTAATTGTGTAAATTATGTTATAATGCTTAGAATACTTTTCTAGTATTACACTTTATTAAGATTCACTAAAGATTTGCACTCTAGTGGGAAATATAAATATAAATGCTAGTACTACTGTATATTAATAAATTATTAATTATTTTGCAAATGTCCAATTAAACGCATGGCTTGCAACATAATTTATATAATTGAGAGCAATAATTCACATCAGTTAATGAAAAGCTATACATATTTTAGATTCTTTGGGGATTTGATAGTTAATTTAACAGAAGCTAATTTGCAATGACTACACAATATTAAGAGTTTTATCTCACAGGCATGTATAATTCTCTCATATTTGGACAAATAATTTATATTATTTTTAATAAATGTTTTATGCAAATACTTAAAGCACATGTCACGCTGCAATTTCCATCATATTTATAAAAATAAATAAATCAGCTTTTTCTGCCCTTTTTAGGGCATTTGAGGTGTAATCTACAATCTTAATTATACCATCTAAGTAATCCAAATTATATTAAATCCATGAGTTTAGGACAACATTCCTAACACTTTTTATTTTTAGTCATTTTGTTTTCCTTATTAAAAACAACAACATTCAAAAGGTATTTAAAAAAAAAGAAGCTTTAAACCTTTAAACCTCGCTCACTGCATTTTCCCAATGTGTTGAAGCCACAGTTAAAACTACTAATGCTTTAATTATTGATGCCTTTCATTTATTTGGTCTCCATTCATTACAATAACAAAGGGGACAGGAACTGTCTTTGTCACTAGGAGAGCTGTCATATGAAAGGACCGGCTCTCACAGTGCGTGTGAACGTGCGCACAGCTCTTGTAGCTACAAAGGGCAGCATAGAAATGTTTAAACATGATCACTTTCAATTCCATGCGTCACACATCTTCAGTCAATTTCAGTCTTTGATAGTATGGGCAGATGTAAACTTGCACATATAACAATCGCAATGCAACTTGCTTTGAAATCAAAGTTTTAGTATTAGTTGTTTCATAGGTACCACATAGAAAAAAGCTAAATCTCTAATCCAGTGAGTCTAATGTGGTGTTTAAAGTGGCGGCTTTTGTTGCCACAGCGAAATCAAGCAGGAAGCTTGAGTGCTTTGGTGTCTGTGTTTAATCATGTCAAGTGAGGGAGGGTAAGAAGTTTGGAGGTTTTAAGGAGCACAGAGGTGTTTCCCAGCAGCAGTCTGCGCTGAAACACAGACGCTCAAGCCGGTCGAGTTGGCGCACACCACAAAACACTGGTAGGATTTACCAGCTCCACGCAGAGGGACATGAAAGTCTCAACGCGGCTTTAGAGTCTCTCCACAAAGGAAACTCCGAGCAAAGGCATTTGCAACCCCTGCCAGTGATTGAACAGCATCACCGCCACCTCACATCCCAGCCAACGGGTCTGCCTATGCCTGCCATCACCCCCAGCCAAGTCTTAAACACGCCACACTGCCAGCCAGCCAAATCTGCCATCAGATCCCCTCCCTCCCCAGGATCCAGGACTGGCTGATTGGTTTGGTGCGCTCCTTCGCTGCCAATTTCAGGGCCTTCAGAGGAACAGAGAGAACTCCGAAAGCCCCTTACCACCACTGCTTGCTGAAATATCTTCGGTCGACAGCGAGTTGCAGAGGAGCTCCAGCCATTTGAAGGTCCCTGCTGATTTCAAGCTTATTTACAAAGATGTGGTGCTTCCCAGCGGGCCCTCTGGAGTGAACAGACAAGCAGCCAGTGGCTGAGCGCTGCTGAAGGCAGGGAGGTCTGAGCTTGTGTTCGGCGAGGAAAAGCAAGAACTACACGGCAAGAGATTCCTCACAAACAACAGCAGCAGAGAGCAGCCGACATCGCTTGCGAGGTGTTTAAACTACACAGACTACATAGTCAGAATGCTCTCAAAAGAAAAAAAATACAATATATTCACATAAATGAGCCTGATTTTCTCCTGGATGTTTGTGAGCTCAAACACAAGAAGCGAGGATGTCATTCTTTCTGGCGTTATGTGATGTTAGCATTCCCAGAGGAGCGGCTCCCTGCATGCGATTCATTCAGATTAGTCTTGACTGGAAAGAGATCAGATGCTCTTCAAAACGATGTGCCCGACTCAGGTTTGATAATCATGTCAGTGATAGTGTCGACAGGCTGGAGAGAGAAACATTCACTTTTTTCATTTGGTCCATAGAGACAGACACTTACACCACAAATGTGCTATCTGAACAGAAGCCTGTTCAAAATGATGTTTCAAAGGAAACAAAATACATATTCCACTAAGACTAAAAATCAATAAATTAATGAATAAATATATAATAATAATAATTATTATTATTACCACTGCTATTATTATTGCTGCCAACGGATTTTCTACTGATTATAATAAATTATTTTATTAACAGCAGTTGCACATATCAATATTTGCTGAGAAAAGCCTACAAACATTACATTATTATAGCAGACATAAATGCCTGCGTATTTCTGTGAATTATTCTTATCATCATCATTAGTATCATTAAGAAATAATAATAATAATAATAATAATGCCTCCAAATGATTACCTGAATTTTACCTGAATTTACTGAATTTAATTTAATTATATACTAATTATAATAATAAATTGCATTGATGCATGCATCAATATTTGATGAGAAAATCATCTAAATCCTCTAAATATTACATTATTGTTGCAGACATTATAATTAGTGACTATATTAATTGTGTACAAAAATGTAAAAAAAAATTGATGGATTATTATATTATTGTATTAATATTATGATCATAATAAAAATAATAATACAAACTTTTAGTACAAAAACAGATAAAACAGATACTGCTTAGAGAAAATGTAAATCTGGCTTGGAACGATGTTTGTGAGCACTTAATCTAAATCCCTCTCTCTGTGTATGCTGGCTGTTGTGCAGCTGTCCATTGCCATGTGCTGGGCTGTGCCGAGTCGGGTGGCACTGAAAGTGGGAGTGTGCCGTGCTCGTACCCTTGCGGTGGTGACGGATGGCTCAGGGCCAGGAACACTGCTCCTCTCCCAGGCAGATAAAAGAAGCCCCACAAATCAGCGGAGGCCTCAGGAGTGATGGGCAGGCTGGCTGCTCATTGCGGGAATCAGGTGTAAATTCAGTCATTAGATTGCTTCCAGAAACAGCATGCATAAATAAAGGCAGGGCACGTGGAGGAGACACGGCGGATCCTCACTCTCTTACTCTCACTGCTGCTGCCGTCAGGGCCAGCATGGGGCAGCATGTAGGGGGTGGCTGCTCTCCGCTGCTAAACTGATTCATCACTCGCTTTCTGACTTTCCTCTTTATTTCTCTCTATTGCATTCAGTACTTTCGATACCTCATTATGTTAAAGTTCAACATAACACAGAGTGTTGCTGCTTAATAGTCTATAGGTAAAAGATACAAGCTTTTCTTCAATGTTAATCAGTTTTACAGTTCAAAATATACTCCGCCATTACTTAGTTACACTAATTTTAGGGATATTTATTATTTATAATTCACCACATGAAATGTTTAAATTATTTATATTAAGGTCCTAAAACAAATTATTAAAATAAAACAAAAATAAATAAAAATAAAATTATAAGTACAGATCATAAAAATAATCAATCAAATGTAACTACTGTTTATATATAAGACAAACAAAATAATATGATTTATTATTACTAGGGATGCCCGATACTGAGCTCCTGTACTCGTACTCGTTAAAATACCCCGATACCAAACGCCGATACCACACAGCATGTGATAAGCGCCATAATCAGACAATGAAACACCGACAACAGAACAACAGACAGCAGAATGGAGTTGTCTACTACGAAGGATGTCTACTACGAAGTATATGTATGCAATGAATATAACGTTAAACATTCAGTATTAATGCCTGTATAGCTGATGTGCGCGAGCTGATAAACAAAACGCGCTGAGTGGACTGAAAGATGATGTACCATAGAGCAAAAAAACGAACAGTGAAAGTAACAAAAACTTGTAAAATACATTTTAATGGGCATAATTAAGTGTGAAAATAACCAAAGGATATACAGCGAAACCAAAAATTATTCAGAGACCAGATCATTTTTTATATTTTTTTACTAGTGGGTGCAGGACACTATAGTTCATTTATGTAAGCGAGGATAGCAAAATAAAGTAAACTGTGACAAATCATACCCAAAAATTATTCATACAGTGGACTACCAGTAAAATTGATACAAATTTGGGACCAAAAATTATTCAGACCGAGTCTGGGAAAAAACATTGAAATTGAGGTTTGCATGAAGCTGGATGACAGCATGCCCAGGAGACTACAGGCTGTCATTAAGGCTAAGGGTTGCCCGACTAAGTATTGATAGTTGTGTAAATACTGTCATACTAACAGCTGTCTGAATTATTTTGGTTCATTGTAATGTATTACATACCTTTCTATCAAAATTATCTAACATTATCAAGATGAATTTGTTCTGACACAGTGTAACTCTGAGTTCTTGTCATATTTTATTACCATTTTCTAAACTATAGCGAATAAACTGTGATAATGTGAGAAATGTTGAAGGTGATTGAATAAATTTTGGTTTGACTGTATCTATTTGATAAATGAAGTTAACCAACTAACATTA